CCCCAAAACCCCAAAACCCCAAAACCCCAAAACCCCAAAACCCCGAATTCTCAAGCCTAAATTGAATAATACTCCTAACTCTTAATAGTTTTTTAATAAAATGGAAGACACCAAACAAGAAAATGAACCTTTCATCTCTCTTGAGGCAGAGACCCCTTCTGAAGAACAGAAATCTCCACAGAAAGCAAGCTTCTTTGAGCTGTATTGATTGATGAATCTTCCTTACAAATTTCTGTTTTTCATTGGATGAATTTCAGCTTTTATCGGAGGTAAGTTTATAATAATATTAACCCACCAAAAGATTTTGATGTATGGTTTTCATAACTTTTCTAAGAATAAGAGTTAGCTCATGAAGTTTGACATAAAGCAATATCCAAATGTTCTTTAACTCTTAGTTGGGCATTAGCATTGCCATAGTTTTCTAAATCAAAATATTGCTCATTTTATGATAGCCATTTTTCAGATTTCGAGGAGCTATTGCGAGTATTCTCTGAGACCTAAATTTAAAGGTCATCATAGATTTACGATAAATCCTCTAGAGATCACTCTAGCGAGGCCGAACGACCTTATTTAAGTGCTGAATTGCTGTGGTTTATATTTTCTAATAATATTTTTCTTTAAGATTATTAAAAACTATCAAAATAGGCTTTAACTATCCGATGACAATGTATGTATGACAGAGAATCTTCGCTAGACTAATTGGAACTCCTGAGGAGATACATGGTAAGGCTTGCTTCTAGTCTATGATCATCACTTGTACTCTCTAAAATATCTTGTAGATGAAATGATAGAACACGATTGGTACGTTCTTGGGATTGCAGGATTATCCTTTGTCACAAATTTCATACAATATACTTGTTTTACATTAGTTGGAAAGAAGATACAATACGAACTGAGGTAGTACCCCTTTGCTCATTTGATATAGGTGGAGGTACATCAAATCTATCCTTATTCAAGACAGTAGCTGGTACGACAAACAGAATATTGAAAGCCTCCCAACTATTGTTCACAGAAATTTGAAAGATATTGAGATTGGATGAGGAAGAGTTATTGGATTTGTGATTTATGCCATAGGTTCTTTTATCTGAGGATGTGCTATTACCCTGACCCTCGCTTTGTTCTTATTCTTAACTTTGTTAGTCCTACTGACTTACATGCTGGCCCTCTCCATTTTTGTGGAGACTTCTCTTGATAAAGTACAGTCCATTAATGAAGAAGCGTTTATCAATGGAGGTGTCCAAGCTGAAGAGACGATAAATGCCATCAGAGTAGTCAAAGCTTTTAGACAGGAAAAGATGTGTTCCTCCGAATTTAGCTCTCATCTTCAGAAAAATAAAAAGGAGACAATGGGAATGGCCTGCCGCTATGGAACTGCCTTTGCATTTATAGAATCTATTCCATACAGTTTTCTTGGATATGCACTTCTTGTTGGAGGATTCTTTGTAGCTGAAAAAGTAAGAATTTTCTCGAATATTTTACATGAATTAAAAAAGTCCAAGTCAACTTATTTACCAAATCCTTTGTTACTCATTGTTGCAAATTCTAATCATGTTCATAGGCTCATAATTCTTTCTCACACGACAACTATACTGGAGGGGACATATTCTCAGCATTTTGCTTCCTCAGCGGGAGCTATTTCTTAGGTAATTCCCTAAGAAACATCTTCTTGATGAGAAAAGGTCTTGAAGCAGCATACCCTGTACTTGAGTTGATAAAAAGAATTCCAGAGATCTCACTGGACAATGCCGAAGCTATTGAGATTAGTGCCATCTCTGAGGGCATCAAGCTAGACAATATAGTATTCAAGTATCCTGATTCAACAACAAATGCGCTGGATGGAGTTTCTATAGAGATAAAGAAAGGAAAAACTCTTGCCATTGTAGGCCCTTCTGGATCAGGAAAATCTACTATTGCTAAACTCTTGGAAAGATTCTACGATCCAGATGAGGGTCAAATCCTCATCGATGGTCGAGACTTAAAGACTATTGATTTGCGCCAGTACAGAAATCTGATTGGATACGTTGGCCAAGAACCTTGCCTATTTAATGAAACTATCAGGGAGAACTTGCTTAACTCAAATCCTAACGCAACCAATGAGGATATTGTAGTTGCACTCAAAACGGCTAATGCTTGGGAATTTGTGGAGAAACTTGACAAAGGCATTGATCATCCAGTTGGAGCAGTTGGAAGTAAATTATCAGGTGGCCAGAAGCAAAGAATTGCTATTGCAAGAGCATTAGTCAGAAACCCTCAAATTTTGATTTTTGATGAAGCTACAAGTGCTCTCGATATTGAGAGTGAGAAGAAAGTTCAAACAGCTATCGATTCTATTGGTGGAGACTCTATCACAAAAGTTGTGATTGCTCATAGGCTCGCAACTGTGAAAAATGCAGAGAAAATCATTGTAATAGATGGAGGAAACATCGCAGAGCAAGGTGATCATGATGAATTGCTTGAACTCAATAAAATCTATGCGAAGATGACTAAAATTCAGAATAAAGCAGACATTGCAAAAGAGTCAGTATCTATGAAGCAGAGTAATCTAAGTGATATCACGAAAATTGAAACTACAGAAGAAGAGACAACCAATGTTGCAGATCAAAATTCTAATTCTGAAGAAATGAAGCTTCTAATTTCAGATGATGAGTCAAAACACATCCAGACAAATGAGGAAGAAGTAGAAAACTTTAATGGTTTCTTCTTTGTTTTAAAGGAAGTACTCACTTTTGCTTCTCCAAAGTGCTTCATTATAGCTATCCTTATTGGCTCGACTCTACTTGGTAGCGCATTAGTGCTACTTCCATACCCAGCAACAAAGCTATTAATGTCTATTTTGATTAATTTTGACGAAGGGGCGCAAATTAAGGATGATATTACCAAATATGTACCAATTATCTTTGGATTGCTAATCTTTAGCTCTGTCATCCAATTTTTCTGTAGAGCAATGCTTCATGTTGTCAACATTAATTTGACTATGAATGTGAGGAAATATGTATATGATAACATCATTCACCAGCCTCTAACATTTTTCGATAAACCATTAAACAATACAGGAAACCTTACCTCTGTTCTTGCTTCAAATGTTAAGGAGCTTAATGGAGTTGCAGTAGAAATGTATATATTTATTTTCCAATCTTTCACAGGAATGCTCTTTGGTATTGGCTTTGCCTTCTTTTTTGAACAGAACATGGGATTACTTTTCTCTATCATCACTCCAGTAACCTCCATTTCAGTTGGAATAACTTTTGCTCTACAGTCTAGCTCTCAAAGCAGCTCCAAAGAGGCTGTAAATAGCCAAGAAAAGATGATATCAGACTATATTTTGAACCACATCACTGTATCATCTTTGGCGAATGAAGATATTATCCTCCAAAGATACTTTTCTGAAGACGAGACTAAAGAAATTAAATACAAGGTCCAATGTTCCCATCTTTATGAAGCAATGGGCCCTGCTTTTGTCTATGGATTTGGTTTTTCATTTGTTATATTTGCAGTTTTCATGATTATACGCTTAGCTGCTCACAACATTATACAAGGCCACTCTGTAGAAGACCAGGTCATGTGACTCATCGGGTTTACTCTCACCTTCCTCTCTGTAGCATTCTTAATGAACAATCCTCCTGATTTTGGTAAGAGTCTTAAAGCTGTGAAAAGAATTATTCAGATCATGCAATGTGCCAAGGAAGGAGAGGCCAACAGTCCTATTGTTAATGGAGATTATGATCTATCTACTGAGACAATGTCTTGAGATATTGAATTTCACAATGTTTGGTTCAAATACTCCAACTCAACTCATGAAAACTGGGTTCTTGAAGGCTTTAGCTTAAGAATCAACGAAGGTGAGAGTATAGGTTTCATCGGAGAATCTGGATGTGGAAAGAGCACAATTATAGCCCTTCTGTTGAGATTTTATGAGCCACAAGCTGGGTATATCACCATTGGTGGAAGAAAAATCACAGATTTCACCATCTCCTCGGTCAGGGCTTACTTTGGACTCGTACAGCAAGAGCCAGTCCTTTTTAATACTACAATTATGGAAAATATCTGCTACGGCAAGCCTCATGCTACTTTTGAGGAAATAGAAAATGCTGCTGCAATAGCAAACTGTGAAGAATTTATCAGAAAGAAAGAATTTGGAGGACAATCGGAAGATGACACAGCTTGTGACGAAATCACTCAAGACAACAGATATGATGGCTTGGACGAAGGATACAAAACAGTCTGCGGGTCAGGAGGTAACAAACTCTCAGGAGGTCAAAAACAAAGAATTGCAATTGCTAGAGCTATCATCAGTCAACCTAAATTCCTGATTCTTGATGAGGCTACCTCAGCTCTTGATGAAAACTCTCAGAAAGAAGTACAAGATGCTCTAGACAAGGTGACAAGAGAGTGAACTTCAATAGTTATTGCACATCGTCTGAGTACACTTGCAAAATGCGATAGGATAGTCACCATCGAAAGTGGAGTTATTGTTGACGACGTTCAAACTAGCAACAACTAATTGCTTTAATACTTATACAAAATATGGTGAAAGTCTTTATTTCAATTTTGAAGCCAAAAGAGGGGTTTTGGGGTTTTGGGGTTTTGGGGTTTTGGGGTTTTGGGG